AAGTACACCCAACTGTGTGTCAACTGGCGTCGCTGGTGCCTCGGCGTACGATTTATCAACATTATCTAACAAATTACAAACGTAACTTGATTTATCCGGTAATTTTTTTACAGCACGCCTACGTGTGCATAAAAATTCGCAATGGCCATGAAGAGCACTTTTTGATTGCGCACATAACACGAGCATTTGCATAAATATATTTTGTTTCGCTCAAATTTTTACGGGAAACACGGGGCCAAAAACTGCAACCTATCAGATCTGATGTATAGATTTTAGACAGCCAGAAGTGCATTAATTATGCTACATTTAATAGTGAGAAAACTAATGGATATCTATTTAATTAGTATATCTACCCGACCTAGATGGGCTTACAGGTTGCCAAAAAAGAAACTGTCACAAAGCATATGCGTATCATCAGATCCTAGATCCTGAAGTCCACCAAGTATATAAATGTATGCACATATGTTACATTGAGATCATTTCTGTGTATCTATTTAATTTAATATGTCCGTCTCAGTATCTATTTAGCTGCAACGCATATTTATCCCATCCCATCTTAGACATCCCAAAGTCCAACAATTATATGTATAACAAGTCAGAGGTTCTAGTCGGGAGCTTCCGACTAGGGGATACCCTGAACCCTCTTCTTCCAACATCAAATGCATATTAATATTCTATTTTAGAAGCTATATGTCAAGTTTCGGGACTCTAGCTCTTATTATTTACATAATTTGCTCAATAAACAGATCTTGATATCGATTTTACTCAATTGCTTGGAAACGGAGTAAGTTATCGATTATCGGAAACAAACTCGATCTGCGCAGGCAGATCATACTTTATGGGGTCGGCGATGCTTTCTTCTGCCTGTTACATACATTTAGATTTTGCACAAATACAATATACCCTTATACCCATTTTTAATGGGTTCAGGGTATAAAAATATGTTACATTAAGATAATTTCTTTAATATATCCATCCAAGCGCATTGCTTGCCCTGAATTCCTAGTTAAACTAATATTTGGTAAGCTCGAGCGCAATTAAAGTGAATCTATCAAAATGACATCATGACCCGTTGACCGAGTGGGATTTTATGCATTAATACAATACAATAAAAGAGAAAAAACAAAGCCAGATTCAGCTGTGTGTGTGTGAAAACTGCCAGCAAATTAAGCAAGCATCCAAATAGTTAAAAACATTTACGCGACGGCAGACAGACAAACAGACGGACAAACAGACTGACAGATGATGGCAGACGCTCGACCTCAGCCCAGCCAAATGCCCAAGCGGTCATGAATGTGTTTTTTGGGGGATAGTACAGGGAAAAGGGAGGGAAGGAAGGTGCATGTGCGATGAATAGTAATTTACTTGATTTAAATACAAACGTGCGCCGTTTGGGCAGCAGGCGTTGGACAGCAGGCGTTGCGTTCCTGCAAATAATTCGCAATTGAATTCAATTGCATTACTCAGAGTTGTCAACAAATGCCGAGCATTCAGTTCGATTGAATGCAATTGAAATTTATTTCCGATGACATTTTTGTTGCCCCTCTTTTGATGTCACACTTCACATTCACACTTTTGAGGAATGGCGATGGAAAGCGATTTAACACAGAAATCAAATTTAAAACAGATGCTCTCCCCGAACAGGAGGCTGGAATGTGGTCATACATGGTTACCCTCTCGCGATCCCAGTGCATCAAGTCCATTGCCGAGGGCCATTTAATGAATGTGAGAGCCCATCTGTTGTGTTGCACTTTTTTTTTGCGTGGCGATGGAGCTTCCTTGTGCCCCTCTTCTCTCGCCGCCTAGCTGCTGCAATTAAGGCTAACCAAGCAAATTACATCCCACGCAGGTCGACCACCCACAAGTACTTTGTGTGTATGATAAATTTATAATTTCGAAAATTTCATTTTGAAGTGCGTGTGGACTGGCGTGTGTCAGAAAAAATGAGATGGTATGGTAAAATATTTATGTGGGCAATTGATGCAGGCCAACGCGTCGTATGCGCAATATTCATCTGTGCTCAATACTTGACTTACTTGTTTGCTCCAGTGGTCTAAGTAGAGTATGGGGGAATCGTATGGGATTAATAATCAATAATTTCGACAATTTTAAAGTTCGTGTGTCAGAAAAAATGAGATGCTAAGGGGTAAAATGTATTTATATAGGCAATTTACACTGACCCACGCGTCGTATGCGCAATATTCATGCGCATCCAATACTTTACTTACATCTTTGCTCCAGTGGACCACGTAGGGTATTGGGGAATCGTATGGGAAATCTATATAGCAATTGAAAACGACATGCGAGCCAACTTTGGCCTCCAGATTTGATTGCTTGCGATGATCGCGCGCGCATGCCACACAGGATGTGTTTATTAAGAGCGCCAGCAGCAGCACCTGCAGCTGCAGCTTTCCTCCGCCCATGACATTGGCAGCATGCTGCTCCTCATTCACCTGGTTCGGCGGGATCAATCCATTACGTTGCTTGGCCATTTTGCTGGACATTAACTATGCACTTCCACTTATTGCTCGCACTGAGGACACGCAGCTCCAACTAATATTGGACGCATGGCTCGACGATGAGGGCTCTCCAAAATCAGGTCAATTTAGACTCGTTGCTTTTCTTTGCTCAAATAAAGTGTATAATATGCTATGCTCGTAATGCGATTCGCGCGCGCCGTATAATTTGCGCAATAAGTCGGAATCGGACCAGGGGTTCTGCGGTCCCGTGAACTGCACACAACGACGGGAGAAGCTCGACTGAAACTGAAAAAATAAACAACATGCGATCAGAAGGCAGAACATTCTGCCAATGTACACGAGTGTATATATGTATATAAGTACATAAATGTTGGCGAGCCATGGCATAGGCAGGGGCAGAGCGCACTCCACTTTCACATGTCAGACGAGATGCTTTGACATTTGACATAACGCCCACGTACGCCTCTTCTAATTAAAATTAGCTCACAATTCACTTTCATCGACATTTATGCACTTAATTAATTGGGTGTGCACTCCAAAGAGCGCAATAACTATTGCACGTTTCTGGCCTTCGCTGGCTTAAATGGGGCTGAGTTGGAATTTCTTTCAGTGTACGGCAAGCTGTGGCTAATTGATGGAGCGTAACTCAGGTCCAAGCTTCCGGGTTGGCCGTGTTGCCGGGCTTCATGAAACGAAAATTCGGCATTGCTTTATTTGGTCAATTTCAAATTACTTTTTTTTTTTAAATTGTTTTTTTAAGTTTATTTGTTTAAAAATTTTGTTCATTTTGCTAATTTGTTTTTATAATCGTGTCTTGTGTTTAATTACAATATATTTCGTTCTAAACTGATTTTTCTCTTGTACGTGTTTATATGCTGAAATACTGGGGAAACTTGTATTGGAATGAATTATTTGGAAATCGAGAATAATGAAAGCGGAAGCGAATAATGGTACGAGTGTGAAGGTCCTCAGGAAGGTGCAAATGGGAGGAAGGCAGGTGAAAGGAAGTAAGGAAAATGTTCTCATTGATAGTTTTTTGTCTGTATTTTTGTTTTGTTTTGTTCGAGTCGAAAAGTTGAAGTTGACTGTCGCACCTTGTCCAAAAATCAAAGTGGCAGACTAAAGCGTTTGATTTACTTATCGAGTAAATTATTTGTTAATTAATTTGTTTACTTAATGTACATGCCATTTAATTCAATAGGTTGTATTAATTTGTATTCATATAAATATTTATATATATATAATTATTTATATATATATATATGCTTTTAAAGTCCTTCACTTAACGTGTATATGTGTTGCACTACCTTTACTCTCAATGCTTTTCCTCTATGCTCAATTAAAATGTAATACATTAATTCGCATACTTTAATTGTTAATTTTCTTTTTGTTTGCTTTACTGCATTTTCGTTTATGCTCAATTAATTGCGTTCTAGTTAACATTATGTGTGTTATATTGTGTGTGTGGGGGTTGTGTAAGTGTGTGTGTATTATATATTTATTTATTTTTGTCAGAGTCAGTTTTGTCTTTGCCTACTCAATACAAAAATCAACTTATCTTAATATTCTTGGTTAGCATTTACAATAATCGAACCTCATCAGTAACATTATTAAGTATTTATTTCAATTCTTGTTTGATCAAATAAGAAACCATTTCGACAAGAGCCTTCTCTAAAAAAAATATTCTGAGAATAATACAGAACTACTGAAAACTATTCCAATTGAAATTGCATTACGAAGGCAAAAAAAAAAAAAAGAAATATATTGAGATCATTTCCGTTAATTTCGTAGTTAAATTTTCATTTGTTCTTTTTTTAAAAATTTTTGTTTGCTGCTCAACGATTTGGTTAAATTGTATTTATTATGTAGTACATATATTATTTAATATTTTTTTCTTTTGGTGTAATTTACATACGTTATACACACGGTAATCATCATCATCATCTTCATGCATTTCGCGCTCTGGCAGTGTTTTGGCGTCAAGTTGTGTCAAACCATTCCGTACAATTTTTTTTTTTGTTCAGACAAGTTTATCATTAACAAGTAATTACGTAATAAGAACTGAAACTCATCAAACATCTCATAAGTTGAACTGAATTGGGGTTTCAGACTACCCATCGATAGATTGAATGCTTAAGTGTATTTAATATGCCTGATTAACTAATCGGCAAGGGAACTCTAGTAATACGTACTTGGCATCCAATCGTGTGGGGTACAACTGATACGGGACCTGCTCATCGGGAAAACTCAAAAATCACCCTCTTAGCCGGCCAAAATGTTGCGCTCCATATTTTCCTTTTAGTTTCAATTAGTATTAGAAGTTATAATAAATGTTGAGTTGCGCTTACATACCGTTAAACCGACTGACTCAACTGTCATGTGTCTTTGTTTTTGTTTTTGTTGTTGTTGCTGTTGCGTTTGTGTTGGGCTAAGTATTTTCCTATACTCGAACCGGAAAAAGTATTTAGGTTTTCAATAAATATATCTTTCGAGTTAATTATTAATTGTGTAGCTCAACAGTAAACTTATATGCAGCAGTTATATTAAATGTAATTATTGTTAATTTTTAATGTTGTTATCAATCTTATTTTTGTTCTTTTCATTAAATAATTTAATTATAAAACAATTCTTGCTATATGTAGATTTTCAGAGTTTTTATCGCTTTTATTTTAACATTTCAATCGTTTAGTCTAACAACTAAAGACGTAATCACTATCATACTTTGCTTCGATTTACGTAGTTTTTAATTTAACATAATATATCGTTTACGTTTGTGGATTGTTTGTTAATTGTTAATTGATGTTTAACAAATCAATCTGTGTGGCCTATTCTTTAAATATCTAATACATCATATTATAAATAATATTCATTTTGCATATTGTGTTCAAATATCAATTACAATTACATAATATATTGAGTTTTAAGTAATAATATGTTCTCATAATTGCTATAGTTGTTGTTGCTGTTTTGTTTTGTTTTTTTTTTTTTTTTAATATTATTAAATATTTTGCTGCGTGCCTTCTTCTAATGTGCACCACGGAATGCATTTAATATTTACAAAAAATCTTCCCTTGCTTGGTGTCCTATATTTCGTTTCGTTTTATTTCATTCAACTTGATTTTGTTTTGCCGCTTGTTCTATCATAAAAAACTACTAATTGTTCATGGCTTTAAATAATTGTAGTTCATAATATGACTGTGTCTAACATGGATTGGGCAGTTGCACTATCTGAGCTGGGCTTGCGCTGCTTTGGATATCGTCTTAAAATATGGTTTATGCGGTTTACTTCGATTGTATTTTCCTACTGTACTCACAGGTATTCATTCCAGTCAGGTGCGTCTACATATGGTTGTGCATTGGATACATGTTTACTTTGCGGTCGCATCTGAGACATTAGCAGACGCTCTCGATTTCGGGTCCGCTCGTCCGCTGCATGGACTGGCGTTTGCGATAGGCATAGAACTCCTCCCGCATGGCCTGGAGGCGAGCTTCGACATTGTCATAGCGCGGCAGGCTGCGGATCTTGCGCGGCACTGATCCACCAAATGAGGTCGAGCCGGCCGCGGCCGAGGCGTGCAACAAGCTGCCGCTCAACGGCCCCAGAGTGTGATGTGGATGCTGATGATAGGATGCCTGATGATGATGATGGTGTGAATAGTGGTTCGTGTCTATGTGAAGATTGAGATCGTCGCGCAGTAGGCCGACGCCCGTAGGCGTTGAGGCGCTCGGCGTGGGCGTAGCAGGGTCGAATTCATAGTGGCCATCAACACTGCCGACATCCACCTGGCAGGTCCTGGGCAGGTTGCTGTCCGTGGCCGCGTTAAGTCTTGAGATCATTTCCAGCCAATGCGCCATGGTGTAAGGCGGCGTCAGACCAGCCGAAAGCGGACTGGGCTGCAAATAGGAATAGTGATATGGCTGCTGTTGCAGTTGACCCGGCACCAGGGTCTGGGCCTGCGCCTGCTGGCTGCCCGACGCGGCAATATTCAGGCCAAAGTATGCCGAATGTTTGGGCGGCGACGGCGGCGGACGGTAGGGCGGCAATAGCCGCCACTCGCTGGTGCTGCCCGGATGGTTGGACGTGTTCTTGGAGCCAAAGCCGCTCGAGCTGGAACGCGACTCCGGCGACGCCTCCAGGCCCACGCCAGCCCCATGGGCCGTCCCTCGCAGCGACAGGTTCAAGTCGGGCAGCGGCGACAGCAGTTCGTGCTGCTGACGGCTAAAAAGCCGGGAATAGTGCCGGGGATACCAGCGAGTGCGGGGTCTGTAACTCTGATATGGCAACTGCGTTTGGTAGTAGTTGCGCCAAGAAGGCGGCGAAGGCAACTGCAGCGGCACAAAGTGATCCTCCAGCGGATGCTGCGACTGATGCGGATAAGGCTGTTGGCGACGCGTCTCTTCCTGAATCGTCCGCAGGGACGGCAGCTCCTGCGAATGATACCGATAGCGGCTCAGATTGCCGGCCCCACTCAAGTGTGATGTAGGCAAGGATCGCTCCGCGGAGTTGGGACAAACAGTGCTGAGATCGCTGAAGTGTGTGTGTTGACCTGGATAGGCGCCATACGACAATTGCTGTTGCTGCTGGTGGCCGGGTGTGCTCGCTGGTGAGCTGGAAAAGATGCGCGAGGCACGCGAGGGTGTGTAGAGCTGTGGCGACAACAGCTGCTGGCTCTGGCTGAGATTGCCGCTGATCGTGTTGATGTGCAGTGGTCCACTGTTGGCCGTGTTCTGCTGCAGATTCCTATATATGTTGGAGCTGTAGGGACGCAGAACGTTTTGGTATCTCGCGCCGGACACGGCCTCTTCGGATAGCTGCTGTTTGACAGAGCCGCCAATTTTAAGCAGGCCGCCCAATCCCTGCAGGAAACCACGTGCAGAATCCGCTGCCGACTGCAGGCTAACTTGGCTGGAAGATGCCACCAGAGGACGGCGCCACGAGGCACGTGCTGTGATGAAGTTGCGACGCGAAAGGAAGCCTCCGTCATCGCTGGAGGACTTTTGGGATACATTGCTGTTGCGACGCTCGAATAGAGCTCCGTCCACGACGTCGATGCTGTTCTCCAGGCTCATGTCGTAGCCGAGCTTGCCACCGTCCTGGGCGGAGCGACGTCTTCCCTGCTCATGAATGTTGGGCGAACTGTAGATGGAATGGCAGTTGGTGCAGCGATCGGGTGGCCAAATCCAGTGCAATATGGCGATGAGTATTGCAGTTAGACTTGATATTCGGGTTTGTTTGTACCTAATAATTGTAGAACGTGTTAAGAGTCCACATCTCATCACATCACATTAATTTAATTAACATAAAATAAATAACAAAAAGAGTCTAAGTTACCAACTCAACAGAATAAAACAGAATCAAATTGAACTGATGAAAAAAGTTGGGTTTAGTATAGAAAATCATTGCTTACGATTTTGATTATGACAGGATGGACCTGGAACTATAAAAACGCTTTCATAATCACGATAATGTTCAGTATTGCTATTTTTAACGAGCAATAGTAGTAGGAGAAATAGTAGAATTTAATAGTAGTAGAAGTAGTAGTATGGGCCAATCAGTGTGTTTTTTTTGGTTGGGCGCATGAGACAATTGGAAAATTTAGATCGATTTAATTGTCGGGTCTTCTTTGGCACGGAGACATAGAATGAATATCAAAGGGGCTACTCACTTTTTTAAAGGCACTTGACCAGAGGAAATTGAGCCCGTACTGCGATTGTGCAAATGATGATTATTGGCTGCAATGTTCCGGGCGTCGGTTATCCTGCAAGCTACCATGTTGAACTCTGTAAACGTATAATTTCTACAATTAATTTGGCGTGCAGCGTGAGCCGTCCTATCCGTTAAATAAAATACATATACAGCAGCTACCAAGCACACACTATGTACGAGCATGTCTATGTATATGTGAATATATTCACACATATACATGCACAACCACACTACCATTTACACATTGCTGTCCACATATGAATGCATATATATATGTATATGGGAAATATGAGTAGTACTCTTCCACAAACTGGCATAACGCGCGCGCCCCAGTTGAAAGTCAGTCGATTATTCTAGCACACAAAATAAGCAGTTATTATGCAGGTGCATATGCACCTATATACAGGTAAACGGACGTTATGCCAATTTGCATGCCAGACAGCAGCATCAGTTACAACAACAACAACAACAGCAACTCCAGTTGTCGTTGTCGCCGTTTTAACATAGTTAAAAATTTAGCAGTTTAATAGATGATTACTTAGAGTACAGGCAATACACCCACACACCCACACACCGTAAGGCTATAATATGCTACGCTATGCTATACAATTGTTAGATTTATAATTTAGTTTAGTAATTTGGGGTATAGTCAAATCCAATTAGCTAGATGGACAAACTAATTTGGCTGGGATCAGTGCTGGAAGGTAGGGGTAGTAGTCGACCTCATTCAGAGAGCAGTACACTAAGGCATGGGCTGTTCCTAATTCTGGACTTGGACACAGACATATATGCGTCCATACGAGTATACATACATATGTATGAAACGCATAGCATGTGCTTTTCGCCGTATTTTATTTAGAGATCGGGCTTCTAGATGTTGGCAAAAAAAAGTCAATGACACATGAAATGGCTTTTGAATGGTCAGTTGATAATTGAAGAAGTTAACGAAAACAAAAGTCTATGGCAAATCGAAAAACAAAACCTAAGCTGAATTATGGTTCGTAAACAAAAAACAAGGAACAGATGACCAAAGTAAGACTGAAAAACATGATTCAAAGTAGTTCAGATAAACGAGTGTAATGTGTTAAGTTTTTGCTGTGAGTTTTTTGGTTCGATTTTATAGTTGAGTAAGTACATAATTATGAAGACCGTGAAATGACTGCAGACTGGCCGCCTTTGTGGGTGCTCGAGATACTTAAGAAAGTGTGGTTGGGTAAATATAATAGTATATACGTAAACGCTTGAATATGAATGCACAATATTCACTGAGAACGATAGATACGCAGAGTATATGAAATGCGGTGTTATACTAGTGTTTGAAGGCAAGTAAATCTTGTTAATTGTTAAATGTTACTTGGTATTGGGCGGTTGTTGTCTGAAAATAACCTTAAGTTTTTGTTGTTGTTACAGTTCCAGTTGCACACGACATCGATTTATTATGATTTTGGAAAAACTTACCCAGTTGCTTTTCGACGTTGCAGGGGGCTTAGTTGGGTAGCGTATTGGTTCTCAGTGGAAGAGTGCATTCCCCGGCAATTTGAATGGACAAACGAGATAATGATAATTTTCTCAAAATCTAACGATTTGTGCATACAAATGCAGGTCATGCTGATAACAGGGCATACGCACTTTTTATCTATTGATAACGCGATCATTTTATGCTTGGAACAAGCCTTTACTGGTTTGACTTTTTGTCATCGATTGTGGGCCTTATTTTACCATCTTTGTGCGTGAATTGTTTACAAAAAACGTCTGCCCAGTATTGCGCTATATATATGGTATTGTCAACTCTGTATATATAGGTATCGAATTTATACTCTCTAAACACCGAAACACCTTTATCCGACATGAACTCAGCCCTGGGCAGAAACAACGACGATTTGGCCAAGAACATGCATTGTAATATTTTTGCGATAAAGGTGTTTGTTTTCCTGATACTGGTTTTCACATTATTTCGGGGTTTGTTTTTTGTTGCTTTGATTATGAACAACTAAACAAACCTAAATATTAATATGCAACATTTTCGTTTTGTTTTTCTCTCTTTAGACTTGTTGTTTGTGTTGTGTAAGTGTGTGAAAGTTTTACAAAATATACATAAGAAATTCATTAAAAACAACACAACAATAAACTAATATTTAAAATGTTGTCAAAAATAGAAACCAAAGTAACTAGAACACATTTAACTTATAACTGAGTCCCCTTAAATTTAAATATTGGGCTAAAGCTCTCACGTTCTCAGGTAATTGCCACCTTAGCTAGCTTTGTTGCAGAATGGATGTAAGGGCACTCGGATTTTGTAAGTCTAGTCTAATGGAACATATTTCAGATATATCTTTACGTTAAACTAAAAACTATTTATATATACATGCGTCAAAAAATATCAAGCTAAGCATAGAATTATAACCAAATGCTCTGGAACGGGTTGGGTCAGTACAGATCACATATCTGCTTTCTTCATTAAATAAAGAAATATTGTATGAAGAGGAATTAATACATAAATTGGATATGCTAAGAGGCCCTTTTAAGAAACAGAAATCTCCATAAACGTCGGGAGTGGGGGGTCAACTCAGCAGGACAAACGGGTTAGATTGCAACTAAGAGAATGTCTTCAAAAAATTAATTCTAAAAACTCATAATGTTTCACAAGTAATAAATGAAATAATTAGAAAAGCAACATACTTGTATTTACAGAAAACCTCGTATTTGAAAATTTCGTTTTTTAATTGTAAATCAATTTTTTACTTGCACAACTACAACGCAAACGTAAAAACTATTCACACAGGCATAATATGGTAATTTTGTATTAAATGCCTTTGACATTTACTTTTTGGTTAAAGTAAACGAACTAATTTAAAAATTCTTTTTCAATGCATTGTTGTTGTCGGAATAGCCAATGAGGTAAGCCGAGAAATCAAATTAAACGCAATTAAACTTGCAATGGCTTCTGATACGAGCCTGTTCTTATATTACAGAAATATATATATATTCAATTAAGAGTTAATGCCTTTAACATTCGAATTGATAATTAAATTTGCAGAACTGAAAAATGCCCATGGGTCAAGCAAAACTTATAAAAGCACGACGAAAATTACAAGTATTACTATATGTTATTTATAAATAAGAAATTAGTAATAATGTGGCCTTGGCCGTCGAATAGTCATTGACAAATTTTGGAGCGGAAATAAGAACTGAGTACTCGAAGTTAGTAGGCAGTAAGTAGGTATGTTAAGTTAGCATTAGTTTGTTAATTAGTTGAGCATAATTGCCAAAAGTGTCGCAATCAACGTCATTGTCAACAACAACAACAAGCGCATTATTATTATTGTCATCTGTTATTTTCGCAAAGATCAGCATTGTCATTAAAAACCATTTCAAGTGTGAGTTAGCATTTCGGCTGTGTTACCTTTTTCCTGTTTTCGTCGTTTACGTTTATTGCAAATTTTTACGGCACAAACCGATAAAATGATCGCAACAATAAAAAACAGGATGCCCCCAACGACGCCGGCTGTTATAGCTTTATGTTTGACACGCGCCGGCACCGGGAATTTCACCTCGTCGCTGGACTCGTACGATTTTTCCGAGTTTGCCAGCACGCGGAAATAGTAGGTACGTCCGCCCACCAAGTTCTTCACCAGATACTGCGTCTCCTCCGGCCGTATCTGCCCGCGGTTCAGCGTCTTCCACTCCGCATCCGTGCGATATTTAATGGTATAGAACTTAACAATGTGTGCGCGCTCCAATGGCGACTGCCAGGTGATGAGGAAACCATTCGAAATTTCCGTAACGGACACATTGCGTGGTGGCCCGGGTTTAGGTCCTGCCGGAGAAAAACATAAATTTAGTATGGAAAACTGAAATACGTTTACGTTTTCCTGACAACATTAAACTCTTTTCAGACTGGACACTCGACTTTTTGACTTTTGCTGAGATTTAGTATTGGGGCACCTTCCACTTATTTAATTGTACACTATGTTTCTGGTTCTCCACATAAACAACACATTTACGGTCCGCAATATTTATTTACTTAAATAAATTATTTTAAAGTCATTCCAGCAACACACATTTTCCACAGATTTCTAATAGTTCGTTAAACTCTACGGGTTGTATATACACACTATATATAATACTTCGTATTGAGATGGAATATTGAAAATATTGTATAAATGTTTATTTTGTGGATTCTTGCTTAAAACTAGCAATAACTGCAAGCAATTTATTTAACTGGAGTGTTGTTGGCAACAAATGCTATGCATATTATTTATGAATATATGTTAATTAGAAATGTTTTTAAAGAGCACACAAGAGATTTGAAAGCGCATATATCAAAAGTTGATTATGCGGACAGGACAGGACGGAGGGACGGAAGGAACGGGGGTTTGTGCCTGCAAAAATGAGCAGTTTTCCCTCTCCTCTGTTATAATGAAAAATACCCACAGATTTGACATAATATAAACGAGGCAGGTGACAAACATACTAAAAAAAAAAATGAATAAAAAAAATGGGGAAAGCTTCACGCCATAGGCCTAGGGTTGAGCGGGGTTTGGCTGTAAAAATGTCAAGGGTAGACAGGGTACACAGTCATATACACATAGTCGGGCAGGCGTGAGACAGGGCTGAGAGTAAATGTTATTTATGGCTGCACCAAGTTGGCACTGGCAACTGGCAGCAGCAGCAGCATCAGGAGCTTATCCGGGCCACAAAATGGATGAGTTAGCGGTAGTAAATCTGCAGACTGCACGGAAATACTCGTAAAAGGCATTACTTAAGCGCATTAAAACGTACGCACACTCACGCACGCACGTCTGCGACTTTCAACAGCCGTAAAATGTCATTGTAAACAATGCAAGTAGTACAATGAGTGCGCACTTTGACCCATCGGATAATTAAGAGGGGAGCTGGGAGATAAAAGTTACAATCCACAAGATGGTAGCTAGCAAATGGCGGATGCCCAAACACAAAGGGCAAAGGGCTGGCAGCAACAGCAGGTACAAATACAATATATAAACAAACAAGCAACAATGGCCGAGAAGAATTTCGAATGTAATTGCTTTTTCAGGTCTGACGCCAACATCGACCCTTGCAGTTCGGTTCGCATGCATGTAGTATGTACATATTTATGTATCATACGAGTATGTAAAAGTATCGTCGCTTTAACTGAAAAAACAGTGAGAAAAATATTTGAATAAATTGATAATAATACGAATACCTTTCAATCTCAACTTGGGCGGTGAATAAACAATCATGCCTCGCGAATCGGTATGAAAGTATATATCAAAATAGGCTAAAAGGTCTGCAAATAAAACAGAAACAGAAACACAAATTTGCAACAAAAGAAAATCATATTAAATACTGTACTCAAACCCAAAAAAAAAAAAAATATAATTAAAGTGACGTTGTAAATCAAATAGGAAAGTGTGCACATTTAAAGGAATAGTATCCAAAAAACCCAAAAACAGAAACAAAACAAATTTTATTCAAATAACTACAACAACACAGAAATTACAGTGAAGGAGGAGTTGGCTTTTGGAAAGCGCTACGACATGCCATGGGAATCGTCAGTACAAAGCTCCTTTTGACACCACTGAAAGACTAACTTATATGAAATAATCGATTAGTTTACCTGGATGGGGTAGGCGAAATACTTATTAAGCGCAACTCCACCTTATGGTAGGGTATGCGGGTATGCTAAGTGTGTATATGTAAAACGGAAAATTACTTTTGCAGCGTAAAAAATGTGCGAATAATATTGGTAACAACAGAACACGGGGCCAAACAACATCAAAAAGCTGGTGCTCTGCAATTATGACAGTGAAATGCATTGAATATTCATAAATTCGCATGTGCGCGTATGCAAATGTGTGTGTGTGTGTGTGCGTGTGCTTGTGTGTGTAAATATAAAACGTAATCAGCCTTCACATGCATTTCCTGCTGTTGTTTTCTCTTTTTATATTTTTATTTTTTGTCGAATGTCAGAAAGAAAATTTGCAACTGTTCAAGTGCCGCCTGTCGCCGGCGCTGCCACCCGTCTACGTTGTTGTTATTAATTTTTAAGCGTTGCGACGCGCAAGGATTCAACAACAACAACAACAACAAGGCAGCCAGCGCCATGACGCATGGTAAACGCTTCACACACACACACACGCACGTAACACGAACACAAGTACACGCACACACACAAGCAGACATTGCTTAACATACGAGCTTGAAATACGGTTTACCGTTGACGTTATATGCACGATTAAAAATATACTTAAAAAAAAATAGGAATGGAAAGAGAACACTAAAAGAGCAGAAGTAAAAGCCAAAAGAAATATTATTTCTGTTTGTTATTTCCGCGGCGATTTTAATGACAGTTGTTGCAGTTGCTTTTGTTTTTTTCCGTCGATGTTGTCGTTGTTGCTGTTTTGGTGGCAGCCCTGCAGCGTGGTGTTTAGCCCGAGTTGCTGTTTGTTAAAATGAGGCGGGTAGTGTAATGTGTGTATGTGGGTGTGGATGGATGGTTGTAGGTGTTTCGCTACAAGCGCCAAAGGTACACACGTACACGAAATCCAGGGTTGCATAACACAACACATTTTCTGTAAGTTGTCGTTGTTTTAAATGTTCTTGTTGTTGTGGCCGTTTTTACAGTTGCCATTGCCATTGTTGTTGTTGCTGTTGTAGTTGTTGCTGTTATTATTGTTTAACATACGCGTGCGCCAACGCACCGAGATATGTATGTACATACATAGCTACATACACGCAGGGACACAAACACAGCAACAGAATGGGACTCTAATACGAGTATAATAAATTCGCTAAATGGGGAAAACACTTACATATGTATGCAGGTCTGTGTACGAGTGCGTGCGTGTGTATGTTTGTGAATGTATAAGTGCGTATGGCGTATGAGTGTGTCTGTGTTTGTGTATGGGGGTTGGGAGCTCTCACTAGCGTTTTATGAAAAGTACAAGAGCGAGACAGAAAAAGAATAGAAGAAAGGTAGAGAGAGAGAGAGAGAGAGATATATATATATATATATAGAGTGGAGGGGGCGGAGGGGGGCGTGGAGAAGAGGCCAATGTGTTACAAACAGGGATAAAGTACAGTAAAAAATTAACTATTATCGCAAAGCGGTTGGAAAAACACGCAGCTACGATGGTATTCAAATTGCCTCACCTACACAGGCCTCAGCGGCGGGTGAGGCGGTCAGGGGGAAATAAAATGCTTGTCTGGTCGTCGTCGGCAAGTCTGCCTGTGTTAAATGTGGCTCGGCATTTGGTAATATGCTTGTTTAAATTACGCCACCTAGCGGCAGCTCACTTGTTTTTGTTATTTCTGTTGTTTTTGCTGTTCGTACATATTGTTGTTGGCGTGGGCGTTGCCATATCGACCGCACGACCTGTGTCACACGAAACAACAATGACAACACGCAGCGTTCGCCATTGTCTGTGTGTGTGTGCTTGTGTCTCAGTGAATGTACATGTATATGTGTCCTCCATTCTGTCACACTGTCTGCTCATCGCACAATTGTAAAAACAGTTCAATTAATTTAAATAATTAAATGTGGGACCAACTGTTTTAATTACGTTGCGAGAAAAGCTGAGCAACCAGCTACCTCCCTGACAGACCCAAACCTACGCCCAAGCCCACACCTACACACCTATACATGCATACACAAACACAGACGTGAGGGCGAGTGGAACATTAAAATATAATATTCACATTCCAGAATTGCCTCCTGCATAAAGGACGCACATGTGCCGACGCCCCAGGGACTCGGCGCGTATTCGGGACGTGCGTTGGCAGCCAATAACATAGGTTAAGTCAGAGGGGAGGAAGGGTCAGACGCTTCGACGGAGCAGCTGCATGCATTTGCCTAACTTTCCTGCTTGCAGTGTATAATTGCTTTGAATATTTAATTTTTGTTTTTCGTTGGCTACTTGCCAAGTATTTTTTATAGTGTTCTTTAAATTTGTGGTTGTCTCTAACAGGGTAAAGACAGCAGGGGGTGGGGGGAGGGCTGGCGAAGTTCGCTAGTCTGGAAAATTAAAAAAGTCTTCAGTTCTAGAGCCAGTCTTTCGCGTGGTCCTCTATTTGCTTCTTTTTTTTTGTGATTGTGAATTGTTTTAAAAACATCATGCACATATATAACGTTAGATATGAACGTATTTTCTTTTCTTGTTGAGGGTTTCTTTCCATTTGTTGGTCCCATAGGTCTCATATTGGAGATATATGTTTTTTATAGCTAAGATACTTCACTAATTGTTAGTTATCTTACCAGCTTCGTCTGGCATTGGCTGAAATAAGTGATCGGGCGGTTGTGTTGCAGCCTTGACATTACGTGGCGCTGCCGGAGCGTCTTCTATTGAATTTGAATTTTTGCCTTGTGGAGGGTGTGGTGGGTGGTCACCAGGGGGTCACCAGCAGCGAGAAAAATTCAAAATTCAATGCGCGATTTTGGCATTTGATTTGACGCATGATTAGTATGAGAAAGTTAATACGAGTAGCGTTTGGTTTGGTTCGATGGAAATCGTGAGAAAAGAGAAGAAAAACGAGAGAAAAATAAGAGCGTTATGTTAGAGCCAATCCAGGTTAACGAGACTCCACGTCCCAATAGTGCAGAAGTTTTAATGAGAATGTGCAAAATGCAGAGCAACATTTGAGCAGGAGCAAGAACCGAAAAACAATTGGGAAAAACCAAAGCATAAACTCGACCTATAACTAAAGGATCTATCAGATTACTCACCCAGTGTCCGCACAGTCATTACTTTGCTCATCATGCCATCGCCGAGCACGTTGCGGCCGACCACCTGAAACTCATAGCTGGTGCCCGAGGCTAATCCGTTGATGGTGACCTGGGTGCTGCCGGAGGGCGTTACAGATATCGTCTGCCAGTCGTTGACGCCCGCCTCGCGGTACCAAATAGTGTAGTCCTGCTTGTACTCGGAGCCGCCACTGTAACCCGGCAGCCACTGCAGTGTTATAGAGGACTCCGTGGCCTTGCCCGTTATATTGTAGGGCGCATGTGGCTGAGTACCCTCGATGACCAGCTGCGTGACGGCCATCAGAGTGGCCACCTCGTTGGAGACCACGCACTGGTAGTATCCGAAATCTTCGCGACGCAAATTATCGATTGTGATGTTGCCACCGGATATTTTGACGCGGTTGCGCTGTGAGTCCGACAGCTGCTCACCCTCCTGGCGCTGCCATTTTATTGTGGGCCGCTCCGTACCCTCCGCTTCGATTGCGTCACAGTGCATCTCGACGCTGTCGCCGACCTTGCGCTGGTAAAGCGTTTCCGGCTCGACAGTAAAGGCTGGTGGCTTGCGGACCAGCACTTCCATTACGCCCGAGTCGCCCTGCGTGCCCTGAGCATTGTACGGCGTGCACGTGTACCGTCCCTGATGGTCCTCGTTTACCCTCGTGAAGAGCAGCGAGCCATTGGCCATTACCACGATGTCCTTCATTTGGTAGGGCTCAAGCAGGCGCTTGTCCTTCGTCCACGTAACGTACTGCAACTGTGGATTCGACTTGATGTAGCATTGCACGACTCCGGCCAATCGAAACGGAAGATACTGCACGGTCGGAGTGAAGGTCACTTTGGCTGGATCTACACAAAAATACGTCACGAATTCAGCTTATATTATGAAAAAAAAAAAGCGAATTGATTTGAGCTCACATTCAACACTCAGGTAGGCCGAAGCGCTCTGCGGATCTCCAATGCCGTTGGTCACCTCGCACAAATACTGTCCCGAGTCGTCCGCACTGATTGGATTGATGATTAGCGAGCCATCCTTGCGAATGGTGACTCGTGTCTCCAAAGAGGCCACCTCGCGCACCGGGGAGCCCTCACGGAACCAACGCACCGTGACATTGCCGGGCATGGCCTTAGCCTCGCATGAGAATATCACTTTTTCGCCCTCGAGTTTCGTTTGATTGGTGGGCGGCACCTGTCGATATAAAGCAGTACAAACCAGATTGTTAGACGTGCTATCTTCAGGTCTGTCATCGCTGAGTAAGGACGCGATAAAATCATGGGTTGTGCCTTTAAGGTCCGAAGCTCCTCCTTAAGCAATATTTTTTTGTGGTTCTACAGCAATGATTCTTGTGTGTCTTTTATTCACACTCTTTCCCTTAAAAATAGTGACAACTTCAGCCACAACACTTTGCTTCTATGTTATATGGCCTGACTGATGCCATTGACAACTTGTCAATCAAATGTGACCGACATCATTTGGGCCCGTTCTATTTCTGTCTTTGGTAATTGCATTACTGCAATTGGCCCATTTTCTTGATTTATTCAAAGGATATACTGATGCGGAGGGATATAATTGAAATGATTTTCATTTGAGTAGGTTATAGTTATGACTAAAGCGATGGCAGCTAAATGCAAAATAAATTCATCGCAAATTGGACACAAAATGATTGTGAATGATGTTTATTTTATATGCGTAAAGGGAATGGTCTTTATATTTTATATTTTATGGAGTTGATTAAAAATACCTAGAAATTTAAAAATGAAGTCCTTACAGTACGCCTTTGTTTTTGAAAGTTCAAAGTTCAAACTATTTAAGGCCTCCATATTTTGCTCAAATGGCGTGCTAAGCTTTTTTCTGGCTAACTGTAAATACCCGAAATCCAAATACATTAGTGGGTCGCCCCCAAAATATGCAGCTCGATTTAGACTGTGTATGTGTGTTTGTGGGTGTTGAGCATATAAGGTACATACGTACATGAGATTGAATATATATGTGAATGTGTGGAAGCACATGTATGCACATGGTAAATAGAAGTAAGGAAGCGGGAATCGATTCGGAGACTGGACGAATGACCATGTGTGTACTGGGCGGGTTCTTTCGCTATGCGCTTAATTCGGCTTTCTTTTGTATGTAAAACGAGGCGGGTGGGACGAGGGGTACATGCGGGCACGACCAACACAAAGGCACCTCAGACTGCAGCCCTGCATGGCAGCCGGTATGCATGGGGAGGACAGAACTGTGTACGCTTCCAACATGCTTTTTTCGCCTGTGTGTGCCGCTCGGGCGTTTGGGACACGTTTTGGGTTGGATTTTTTTGTAAGCCAAGCTAATGGCGTTTTCTGCCAGCAGGTGTCGTCGGTTGGTTTTCACGTGCGAACATTTCGTGCCTCCGGAGGGATTGGTCTGATCTGTTCTGATGGCTCCTCATGCTATTGATGTTGTTTTAACACTCAAGCCGAAAAGAACATTTTGGATGATTAGTTTGCTTTGGCAACTGCTTAGGATGTTTGACTTTGCAGGTTGGTTAATGTAACAGCGCTTAACGGACTTTAAATGAAGCGTATCCAAGAAAATGGACGAAGAATGGGATGTAGGTAATATTCAAAACTTACTTTTATAGTAAATTTATCATTGATGGCAATCATTTTTCATTTTGTTTGGCTGTTTTTAATATGTGCCCCCTTATCCTTTGTGCGAAAAAGAGTGTTTGGTAGTATTTGTTAAATTGACAAAGTGTTGGTTTTGGTTTAAAAATAGGTAAATCGAATTAAGATAGTTTTAAGAATTCATTCAACTATTCCTGATCTATATGTGCTATGAAACCCATTACTACTCTACTCGAGAGCCCACCAATATGTTCGCTATAGTTGGGATGACTAAAATTTTAGAAAACAATATTTAATTTTCTCTTCGTTTTTTTGTTTCATCATTTTAAAGAACTGTCTATAAACGAATATTCGATTATCTGGTATATAATTGATTTGTTTATAGGTTTTTACCATTATTACAGCGCCGCCCGCAATTATAACGCGGGCCGTATGGGAGACCTGTCCCTCACCATTGCGTGCAATGCAAGTGTATTCTCCGATATCCTCGTGCCGTATCGTGGAGATCCGTAGCTCGGTGCCATCGTTGAAGATGCCAACCGTGGGCGAGGGGTCAACGGGATTCGCATCCTTGTACCAAAGAATTTCTGGAGTTGGTGTGCCATCTGCCTGGCAATTGAGTATAATTGAATCACCTGCAAAATTTAAAAATTAATGGGGTAAGTGCCAGCAATTGTTCAGCTCATGCTCGTAAATGCGGTTCTCATCTCATACACAGAAAATTGCCAGTCAGCCATTTGCTTTGCCCAGCTTCCGGTTAATAAGGCCGAGTTGCCTATTCGCAGTCGCTTTCATATATTTTTTTATATAAATCTCAGCCTCTCCAGTTAACTACTCGTACTTACTGCCGCCATTTGCCGCAGACAATGGAACCCAGTCGGTGGCTGCATTGTTGCTACTATTGGTTCATGTTCCGTTGCTTTACGCCGTCCGAGTTGGCTTACAAACCATCAAAGTGTTGTATGATTTATGCGCTGCAGCGTCATTTTCTCTTGACGCATTTCCGGCGCAGTCGCTGTCTTTTGTTTGGCTTTCGAATTGTTCGCCGTGTGTTCTGTATGCTGTTTGTCTTGGGTGCCACTTGGAAGTTGAGTGCCTGAGCCTAAACATTTTAACTTTGATTAAGCGACGGAAATTCGATTTGGCTGGCGATTGCACACACACACACACACACACACACACACACACAAAGGCTTATCGATTTTGTAAAGTATTCGGCACATACGAGAGATGACAAATGACTTCCCATAAGCAACTTAAACACTCTTTTCTAAGCGAGCCAAGTTTTCCATACTATGGGGAAAGTGTCGCTCACTTTTTTACGATTGCGCACCATTATGACGCAAGAGTGAGCGTTGGGCACCGGCAATTGTCGGGCTTTGGGACCTTGCACATAAATAGACCCATAGTTCATTTCAAGGTGACAGACTCTTTTGGGCACTGCAACAAATTGCTGACCATTTGACACATTCACAAATGGCTATCCATGGCAAGGCATGTAAGGAGCCTGGAGAACGTTTGGAGAGCCTGCGTCACTTAATCTGTGAAACGTCATTTATCCGGTGGTTGATAGAAGCAAAGAACGGCCGAAATATGAGTCGGTTCCGCCTGGCAGAACTTTGACAAGTTTCTCGACAGCTAGGCTGTTATTTATGATTTCGCATTTGTTGTTGTGGGGACTCACCTAAATTAACATATATAATATCCTCTGGTGTAACACTAAAGCGTGGCGGTGCATGTACATCTAAGTGGAACCATGTACCATTCTTATGCTGCTTGGGATCTCGGTTAAGAAATACGACCTTGCATTCGTACCATCCCTGATCCGATTCTCTAATGCTGGTCAGGTTGAGCGATGCAGAGCCAAACGGCGAGTCCTGCGACACACGCGACACGCGTCCCTTGTAGCCCTCCTCAATGTGTTCCGGGTAGCTCTCATACCAGATGTATATGGGCAGATCGGAGCCCTGTGTTGTTGTGTAATGCATAAATGTAAAATGTTAAGGTCGATGAATAAATAAGGCTTGCATTCGCTTGTGTACAGTCTGCTATTAATTGGAAGACAACATGTTGTTTTTTGATGTATTTGAACGTTTGTACATACTCTTGACATCAAAAAATTATTGACCGCATAGTTCAAACTAAGATCATGTGGCGTAAATGTTATGACATGTTCGGTAGATAAGTGAAATGAATTCATATTTGTCGCGAAACATTATGATTATTTACATGGGCGATTTAGGTAAACTCAACATATAGAAAATCTAAATTCTAGCATGATTAAAAATTGAAATTAAACATGCAAACCTCATACACACTCTTCATGCTGAAAAGGTTACATTGTTATATTTAATTAAAATAAATTGTCAGCTTAAAAATAATATTATGCACATAAAGTCAGAACAAATAAAATTTAATCAGTTTATCTTAGATTTATAGCAGAATGGACGATTGGCAATGTTTAAACCCCCGAAAACTGTGAAAATAAATTGAATGTGACACGAGCCTCATACGAAAAAACTAAAAAGGAAAAAAAAAAACAATATAATCATAGATTGGCAGAGTTACGGGCGCATTGTGCACTGACGCAAGTCCGTAGCTTTCCCAACCCCATGGACCCCATAGGCTAGCTATCAACACCAGAGCAGGGCCAGCAGATCCCGGCAACAATAAATCATGTGCAAACAGCGAAAACAACAAGGCACAGAAACAGAGATACAGTTGAAATTCAAGCTTTGGCTGATAAAAAATGTGCATGAAAAATATGTCAGGCAAGCTACAACAATTGAGGTCAACCTGCAGTCTCTCTCTGCCACCTCGGCCCTAACCAACCGATATGCCATATATGTATATCAGTTTATTGTTTATTTTTTTTTTTTTTTGCTCAAAGGCACATCCCCAGCCATGTTGGAAGTCACCAGCATAGAATGCTGTGAATCTATTGAATCACACGTTCAGTTAAATGCTCTATGTCATTGGTACTAAATTTCAATACCCTAGGAGGAAAATGTTTACTCCACTGAAATGGGAATATAATTGCTTTTGCTTAAGTAGGCATGTTGCTCGTGCGTCGGATTGCGGCAGCATTAAAGTTAATCGATTTATTTTTGTAATTATACTATGCAGATTTATGAGCTGACAAGCGTCGTCTCGCCTCGTTTATAAAAACTTAATTATATACGTTTTAATAATTTTCTCAGCTGGCATATGAAATAATTTGCTTTGGCAGTACCGAACCCACGACACACGACACAGTACGCAGGACGCAGAACGCAGAGCACAGCGTAGACGTCCTGGGACCCATATATAGGCAGCTGGAGGCTCGACTCAACATGTCAGCGAAAGCAGCTCGGTAGCTTACATGTATTTATTAGAGCAACCCCAACGTTCCTGGTAGGCAGCAAGCGGGCGCCAAAATTAATATTCACACTCGGAGAAGCGTCATAAGTTGACTTGGTAAACATTTTTCCGCTTAATTTATTCAGTAGCAATTTATTTAGATTGCAACAAAGGCAACGTTGCCTCTCCTCATATTTGTTGTACTCTGTGGCGGTCGGTCTGGTCTCTTAAAGCGAAAGTCGCACAAAAGTAGGCAACACAAAAAACATAGGCTTACTTTAATATAGAGTCGTGAAGTCTACGCAACACGGCAAAACATGTTGCAAAACACGACGCAACTCGACCATTGTATTTAATTACAAACACTATAAGCAAACAAAACGAACCGTGCCAGATCAGAGCTGGGTATAAATTAAAAGCTGAAGCCATGTTAATCCCTTTAATACCCCACCATTACAGCCATTACCGTTATGCTGCCGTGCCACATTTTGCGGCCATATTCCGAAAGGGACTGTGTAGCATTGCCTCAGCGTATGCGTATTTATTTTTATCGCAGCAAAGCATAAACTTTCTTTTTTTAGTACTTATAAAAATGCTTGTAAAACTTTTAACTTGGCACAAAAAACACTACGTTATCTATCTAAGCGCATGAAAGTATGCTAACAAACAGTCTGATTCGTACACACATACACACACATGCAAGCACACACATATACATTCGAATATATACTCGGTCCACGGCGTATAGTTCAGCTGAAATGAAGACGTTGACGTCAACGTCTGCGTCAACCTCAGGAGCAGCAGCAGCCGCAGCGTCTACATTTCTACTTTATTATCCTTGCGGTTTTTCTTAGTTTTTGCTCGGTTTAACTTTTTGCTATCAAGCAGCAACAATAAACTTAGTTGATCGGCTTGCAGCAGCTTAAGCTTGCTTTAAATTATGAAACTAAGCAGTTTGAGGTCGGAGCCTTCAGCCTGGCAGATTTTCTAGCTAAATTTTCCTAATCAGCCCACCTTACACCCTATATATATATATATGTATATAGTGTTAGTATATAAATCTGTAGGTCGCAAGCCATTGCCCACCACTCAAGCAAAAATAGTTATGCAATGCATGCTGGCGTTTCAAAAGGTTAAAACTTATGTATGTCATACTTTGCCCAAGGCGTATTATATAAATTTAAATGAAATAAAATTAATTTAATAGAAAAAAGTTAAGCAGGAATTTGACTTGTGCCCTTTAAAAATATTTGCATAACCAAACAGATTGCTCCACATTTCGCTTGTTCTATTTTCCTTAATGGAAATACATTTTTGCTTACTGCTTGCTATGCATCATGGAATTTGCAGTGCAGGATGCAGGTTTGTGGATGGATTGTGAATTTTAACGAGATATTTCGGTCAAACAGAGTTGAGGGAAATAGGCAATGGTTCAAAAATATTTATGCAACAAATTCTTAATTTTGCTAAAAGGTTTAGTGTTAAATAAAATTCGTATTTTTCCTAATTTCACAGAAAGTCAACCTTACGAAAGAAAACATTCACCTATTTCCGCAAACTCTGTTGAGGCTAGAAAGATGTGCAGTGATTGCATAAGTTGCACTAAAATCTTGGGAATGTGGCTACATATAGTTTTTTCTTTGATTGCTATGAATTATTGCGACTAGTTTTTTTTTGGTTTTCTTAGCGGTGAACAGCTATAGATTGTATAAATGTTTTTCGATTTTGCGAACGAGATTGTTTGAAAGTAAATGGTGTGAATTTTTCTTCTCTCTCGCTCTCTTTGGTCGGATTTATTTCTTTTGATTTTTTAAAAAGCATATTTTTCTCAATTGCCTAGTCAGTGTTTGGATAGAATTGCTTGTGTGGTGTCAATATGATCCTCTGTTTGTGGAATATCTAAATAGAGTCGCTAAGAATCTGTTTTCGATTTAGTTCTAGCTTTCGCCGCGAAGCTTAACTAAAGTTAACATTTTAGCACACTTGGCGAAAATTGTTAATCGAATAAAAATTAAAGGCAAGGGCTTAGAAATTATATTTAACTCATATGCAAATGGCCAATCAAGCAACACATAAAATACATTTACTTAACATGATAGACATTTCCAAGCTAATTGTTTCATATCGTATAGTTAATAACGCAACATTGGCATTAACAATAGTGTCATATTGTAGTAGCAAAAGCCGCATACAAATCAGAACACAAATAATCCTTAACTGAAAAATACTTATAAGTTACGTCTAATTTACAACAATTTCGATTATTACGCATACGCACTGTAGAGCCTAAGCTGGCCGTCAGTTAATACATATATTAATCATATTTGTTTAAAAAAACTATGAAAATCAAGGGGAACAGAACAGAATAGAACATATATGCAAATAGCCATCCGAATATTGATTAGTTAAGGGATGCTCATATAGTAGTAATCATTAAGTGGGTAGTTAGAAGTTAAAGAGTTCGAAAACTTTGAGATATGCAAGTATTTCGTTTACTGTGTTACATTTGTCGCGCTTGCTTCGACTTTGTCTATCTGTTTCTTACTTTGTTTAGCTTTTTGCGTATCAAACGACAATGTAAAAAAGAGAGTTTAGAGAAGAAATTTTATTTGTGATATCGTACCGTTTCGCTCACCTTCTTGTCCCACTGCAGGACATATGGCACCGGATGATCGTTAGGGAACTCAACGTGGCAATTGAAGACGACACCCTCGCCCAGTATGGCTGTGATGTGCACAGCATCCTCTGTAAATAGTTCAAAACAAGCATAACATTTAAAGTAATTACATGCATGTATGTATATAGATACTAGCGGGTATAGCCCGGCCTTGCCGTTGCACGTATAAAATAAATGTTGTCAAAAAGCTTACGTTATGGGCTGTCAATAAGTCAGATTAAACAGTTTTAAATATCGATATATATTTCTATAAAGATCCTGAATTAACAATGTATTTTACCACGTTTATTGCCCCGTGGGACTCGAGACAAGTTGAAAGCTTTTGACGTCAAGTGATTGATGGCTCAAATGTTTCACTGACCTGATGTGCAATCTGCGTGTACTCAGTCTCTTACTTATTGAAGAGTTCTTTTCATGCCGCGCCCTTAAATGCCCAGTCCATAAGCCACGCCTCAGTCAGTGTCATCCCCTTTGTACCCGCCATCGCCGCACTTCTGTGTTTACGTGACATTCTGTACGATTTACTAAGTTAGCTGGACATTTGCCTGGTCCAGTATGCAGGATCCGGCGCCTAGGTCGTTGCTATGTGGAGTAGCCGCATTTGTGAAGGGCCCGCGAGGCTGCATTGACATGCCATCGACGTCTTTTTTCACAGGACTTTGGTAGATAACACGACAGAAGCGAAGCGGGTTGCTTTAAAATGGAATCGTTGATAGCCGCATCGGTCACATGTCAAGTGGAGGCTATTGAGTGGTATTTCGTGGGTTGTACGTTTTGCCACTATTCAACTAGGCATACAATATAGGTTATTACTTATGGCAAGGATACTTGCGAAGTATTTCTCAGATAAGATATCGAATAAATATTCTGGGCATCCCGATTATTTTGGAATTTTTTTTTTTATGGAATTCACTTGATGATTTACTTGTATAACTAACTATATAGAATGGATGGGCAGTTGGACGAGTGGCTTGTATTCTCCCCATACGCTCGTATTTTTTTAAAACCATTCATTGTGTGAAACGTGACATTTGATTAGCTCTTGTCAACTGTCTGGTTAAGGCTGAGGTAACTGTCGACTACAGTCGTCAATAATTCAAGTTAGACCTGCCCGACTGGCCCTCGGGTTGGCAACCCTCGCCCAGTTGCCGTGGTTATCATACTAAAAACGAAGCTGTCGAACTAACAGAAGCAGAAATATTCAATAGCCAGCCCGCATTATGTTACTTGTCTATACTTAAAGCCTCACGCGCAAAGCTTTAATTGCCCTGCACAAATCTACCCGTTGCCGTTGACAACACGGTGGTTCTTGGTCTACAACAGAAATGCTAATGAATAGTCGGAAACAGCACAACGGAACGTTGCAATGCCCCGTCGCATCCTTTTACACACACGACACAGACCAGGACAGGTAAAGACAGAGCAGATCAGCGTGGTATATGTCATGGACAAAATTGTTAACAAGCAGCTTTTGACAAGGCTAGTGTTGTGCCCGATGTGGGGCAGCATTTGGGTATTCAAATTTTCCAAATTAATCTTTAAATCGAGTATAATATAAGTATAACGTATAACGCTTAAATATAATACTATCGAAGTAGTTTGCAATAGCAAAAGATAAAGTTAATGTTTCTGCTGCATAGTTATAGACATGCGCACAGCAAAAGAAAAGCCCAGCGGCGAGGGAAAGGATAGCCAATTGATGGCCGGGTCGCCAGTCAGTTAGTCCAGGACCTCAACTGCAGGCGGCCTAGTTGGCTCATCTGTTAGCTCGTCTCGGCTGTCAGCTAGTCTACCCGTCGCTCATACACTTTATCAGTCAGTCCCTGGCATGATGTTGCTTTGTCTCTTTCATATTATGCAGTGAACGCTTGTTGACTTTGGCATTTGCATAAATTTCTGTTAACTTGGCCAGCTTAGGCAACACTTTTGCACATTGAAAGTAGAGTTGGGACGACGTTGCACAAAAAGCAACAAGAAAATGTACAGAAACAACAATGAACAAGTGTGTGTGTGTGTACAGTCAGTCAGTCAGGACTCTTGAGCGTTTATTGCCCTTTGATAATGCTGCAGACAGGTCGCCAGCCTTGCCAACTCGAGGGTTAGCAGGAAGCAGCTCACCCACGCGAGGCTGTTGGCCCTGCCTTTCCGTTGATGTTTGGAATTTTTGTCCCGCCTTTTGATTGCGTTAACATGCAGAAGTGGTCTCATTATACAATTTAAAATATCCTCTAGCCAAAGCAGTCACCACTGCCAGCAGGCACTTGATGTCCTCCCGACTTGCCTTAAGTTGTTCAGTAGCGCACTTTGTTTTCATGGTTTCAAGTTGAGTCGTTCGCCTGCAACTAGCAGCGTCCGTCTTTACCATAACATTTTCCCGGAACTTATTTTGGGACCCTCCGCTGAACGCCCTCCGCCTTTCTTAGCGGTGCGCCTTGAGGCGTATTTGGCAATTGACCTTCCGACCGCGCACGAAGTGGCCATCCGTTAACTGCTATAGAAATCCCAAGCGGATTTTCAATTTTCGGCTAAATTAATTTAATTCATTTGAAGAATATTACGGTACATTAAAGCAGGTATTCAGGACGGCTAGCTTTGCTACAGCTACATTGAAAATTAAATTCCCAAGTGCCTGTCACGTTTGTCGAGCTGCTCTCCCTCTCGCCCTCTCTCTCTCTCTCCCTCTCCCCCTCTCTCTCTTTCTTTCTCTCTCTCTCTCTCTCTCTAATATTAATATGCATATCTACATGTGTACATACATATTTAGTTGCCTATAAATTTGTCCAGGCAAATAGGTCGCCAGTTTTGGCTGGCACTTCAACCAACTGTCAACTAATTGCTAAATGTAATCAGCTTTGCCCTCACGTAAGCCGCTTATTGTGCACCATTAAATGTTCGTGAATACCAAATAAAAATGAATCTATGCGCAACGTCACACAGAGTGCTGCCTAACCTGGCCTAATACAATGTCCACATATGGCAGTACTACGGACTGTCATCACTTCACGGGTGAAATTAGCCCGAACCGACAACAATCAATCGATTTTGCTGACGGTCTTTATAAAAGTTGTGTTTTACATTTATTGCAGCAGTAAAAGCTTTTACACGATTTGGCAACGTGTAATTAATCGATAGTACTTTGATTGGCTTCGCTTTAAATGCCTCTTACCTGGTATATTGTGAGCTTGTGCATTTTTTGCCAATAAGGCAAGCAACCAAATCAGTAAAAATATCAGAATCTTTATGGATCCGCCGCTGACGTGGCAGGTTCTCGAGGCACTAACGCAACCGACGACGTCCACTGCGACGTCGTTGTCCTCGTCGCAATGTCTCCTGCTCGTCGCTTTCACCGTGAACGCAGCCGTTTTCGGCGGCAGCCTTTGAGTCGAAGCGGCGTGAATCGCCGTAGCTCTTCCCAATGCGAATGCTACGATTGTTGACTCTGCTCTGGTACTTTCGCTGATTGTGTCCGATTGTGGTTGATGTTGCTTTCCTGTGGATAGGTTTGTGTTTGTGGCGCACGACGAACGCGACCGGCTTAATGCCTGACACCATCGATAAGACCCAGGGTCCGCACACACGCCCATGCCTCTGGTCCCATAGTCAACGCCGCCTAACGTATCGTTCTCACTTGCAGTGGCGTCATCTGTAACAGAGAGAACAAAGATGGAAATGCTTTTTAGTAGTTTCAAGTGCGGCACACAATTTGTCGAAGAGTCCCCCAGTTCACCTGGCCGCATTTGTTGAAGCTGTCTCGCTCGTATGCCAATCAGTCTGAATCTAACTTGACTTGTGGATTTGGAGCCCATCAACAGTCAAAACGTATTATGTATGTTGTGCCGCAGCAATTTACCTACAAATTTCTTACTGGATCGAAATCTTATACAAACTACTAATCATAGATGACAAATTAATAAACAAAAGTTTTCCATGTGAACGCCCGTTAGCCGGGAGGCAAGCACCTTTGCATACACACACAAACACACACCTGAACATAAAATTAAGCAGCTAATAGGTTGTAGCTACAAGGCAGACAAGCAGATAAGGGCCAGGTGCGCGAGGAATGGGAAATTGCGAAGCAAGACAAAAGGCGACCCATTAAATCGCCTTGCGCCTATACAAATAGTGAAAACTTTTCCTTACGCTGTTTGGCACTAAAACTTTCCGTTTTAATGTAAAACTTGTGTTGAATGCCGTCAGGCGGCATTGTTGTATAGTTGGGCCTTATCTAGGAATCTAGAACTAGGTGATATATATGGGCCCTATTTGCTGAGTAGTTAATTAAAAGGGATTGTGTCCACAATTAGCAACATTCGGTGCTTGTCGCCTCCACAAGTATGCAATAGAATTCTGCTGAATACTCCTTTCAGGCTGCAAGGAATTCTTAATTAAATTATTTGCAAATGCTTTAAATGGAATTCCCGTAATTACAAGTGTGAATATCTAGGCAAACCTGAATATAACAATTCATTAACATCCGCATCAGCATAAAAATTGTAGGTTCGCATACATTCTCGTATACATGCACATACACACATACCCACACACACAGGCAGAGCAATGTTCCCACACAGCACACATGCTGCGGCATTTTAAAACGCAAGAAAAGCGTTTTTGTAACGAATTTCCCTCGCCTGTTTGCCATGTATCTTTGCTTTACCTTTATTAAACGTTGCCACTGCAATTAAGTAACTTGAATCTGCACTCTCGCACATATACGTTCAAGATGTGTCTTGTGGCCAGAAGAGGGCCTTTTGCAAAGGAGAGAGCAACTCATTATGTTTAATTTCAATTTTGAAGGGATGTGGCAGCGGTTTTGTGGTTACCTTTGTGCGCATCTCTGTTGGCATTAGCGATCATTTAATGTACGACAAACAATGAACCACAGCAACGCAGATTGAATACCCTTGCAAACATATTCATTAAATCTCCTCGAGCGGCATCTAAATATATACAACCATATAATACAGATGCACAGACCATATTTTTTAATGGGGTTTTCATTTTGTTACAACATTTTTCTGCAATGTGCAAGGATACACAGAGACCGAGAGAGAGCCCTGAAAACTTTGCGACAACCTTAGCCGAGGCGTTCATACGTCGACTTAAATCCTTTTGACATGACATGTAAAATTTTAATAACGCAAGCATTATGAACAGTTTTTGAGTTTTGGCAGTATAACCAGTTGATTAAAACGAAATTTATTTATGAAACGTGGCCATTACCTTGCAAGAACCCAGAGCCAACTACCATATCAAAATTAAAGGCCTACAAACCAGCGAAAATAACATTAGACCAGCTACCCATTTTCGTCCTGGTCTCACAGGCGAACACCAACGGAGCGGGAAGGGGCCCGGCAGAGAGCCAACTAAAATAGAACAAAAGCCGGAAAAATGATTTCCCTTATGGCTGAATTTTCATTACCGAAAAACCCGCCATAGCGTATGATTTCATTTGTAAATCAGCTCAAGTTGAGCCGAACATCGCATAATGGACACTGGATGTCGAAAGTTGGACGGAAAGTGGGAGGACGGAAAGTGGGAGGCAGCTCGACATTTGATGGCGACTATGGCGGCGACCATCTTTTTTGTGGAGCCAGCTAACAATGACAAATCAGCAAACGAATTGCATTTTCTGCTACACGTAGCCAAATGCAAACCAGTCGATTGTGTGCGGCTTTCATTAAATGAAGTACGTTGGGACAATGAGACTGCCTGGGCCTAGGATGTGGTTCCTAAATCAGTTGATTGGTTCGGCTTACATACACTCGCTCTATGTGTATGTGCATGTATACATGTTTGCCTGCACCATGAGACTCATAACTAAATTTTCGACCACATCGTTGTCATTAAAACGTGTGCGTGTACACGCCAGAGACAGAGGTGGCAGCCAGTAATCATCTCACAGTGAGTCATGGCCATGGAAGCCATTCCAATGAGAGGACCTGAACGTGGGCGTTGACGCGCCGCCATTTTATTTTGTGCCCTGTGTGGCGGCAGCACTTTATGGCATCCGTTTCCGCTGGCTTTGCTGCTGGATCCGCTGCGCGCTGAATGCTTCAAAAGAGTCGGATGCGGATGCGGCGATGGATGAAAGCTTTTGGTTGACTGCACACTGAAGTAAAAAAATGGGCAGCGGTCAATTTGGCGACCATCGCATTACGAGCCTGTTCACATGATCTTTGAAAGACAGCTGAAACACGCACATATAGATTATATCAGACCACAAAAGTTTTAAGCCCCAGATTTATACCACATACATGACACGGACTCAAGGAAGTTGCTGCAGAGTTTTTTTTGCCAGCGTTGGCCTTGATTCTGATTTGATTAAACACTAATTAATCATCTTGTATTAAATTTACTTTCAAGCAGCCCTGACCACATCTTCAAATCAACAGCACAAGGGTTTTAGTCCAGAAAGAATACACTCTAATAACTGTAAGTGCCTGTCCAGCTCAACTCTCTCTACTTCTCGCACCCTTTCGCTATGAGACGTTTTTTTCTGTACATATATGGTGCGGTCTTGGGTGCAAAAAAGAATTTTTACAATTTTTGCTTATTTTGTGTTGCTGCTGCAAACTAAGTGAGGCCGCGACACCATATATGTGTGCACTTGTACATGCCCCAACAAGTAAGAGGTTCAAAACCGGGAAATCCCTACTAGGGGATACCCTGAACCCTCTTCTTCCAACATTAAATGCATATATATATTCTATTTTAGAAGCTATATGTCAAGTTTGGGGACTCTAGCTCTTATTATTTACCAAAATTGCCCAAAAAACAGGATATCGATATCGATTTTTATCGATTGCTTGCAAACGGAGTAAGTTATCGATTATCGGAAATAAACTCGATCTGCGCGGGAACTAGGAGCACCTACATCTAAAATTTCAATTCTCTAGTTCTTATAGGTTCTGAGATCCTTGCGTTCATACACACGGACAGACGGACGGACGGACAGATAGACGGACATGGCAAGATCGACTTGGCTATTGATGCTGATCAAGAATATATATACTTTATGGGGTCGGAGATGCTTCCTTCTGCCTGTTACATACATTTTGATTTTGCACAAATACAATATACCCTTATACCCATTTTTAATGGATTCTGGGTATAAAAAGTGGGGAGAACAATAAGAAAAGTCACCCCATGTAATATGTAGGCCGTGTGTGAAAAAATGGAACCAGCCGCAATGCCGCTGCTGTCATCTTTATTACCTTCATGGTTGCCGCAGTGAAGCCTATTCGAATGAAAAAATATGAGTCGTTCTTTAAATAAATATGCGGCTGGTCCTTCGACCTTTGTTAATTCCTAATTTATATAATTTGTTATCATAAGAATAGCCAAACTAATTCTGCAGTTATTAATAAGGTAAGCCTGAGTTGGTGTTACGAAAGATGACTCAAAGAAACGATCATCATTTAATCTAATATAATGTCACATTGCCACAGTAGCAATTAGTACTAACCATCAGCTACTCGCGGCTATTAGGTGAGCTGTAACCTGTGAAAATTCTGGGGGCACAGCCAAAAGTCAATATATCATTATAAAGGCACTTACGTCAAATGATTTAAAAGAAATGCGGCCAAAAAAGCTGCGGCCCAGCTAGGTCAGGCAAACAGCAGCCATGTTGTCCTCGGCAAACGGGAGCAAAAACGATGGAAGGCACGGGAACGAAAATGGGACGAGCTGGGGCCATTGTACAATTTTAATTGCTCTAAAATGTTGTAATACAACACGAACCACAAATAAATAAAATTTGCTGACATCAACAGGATGTTTGCGGGTTCCTGTGCGGCAGGGAGCCTAAAGAACATCATAGTAGATGGCCAGGTCAGGCCGTAATGGTCTAATGACTGGCGCCCGCCCCACGTTTTGAAATTTAATTTGGTCGGAATGGAGACAGAGAGTCGCTGGAACTCATAGCGAAGGCTGCCTGTCTATTGGCGTGTGCATAAATATGGTAGCTGTAGATGGGCGGGACAAGCGAATGCGAGAGTCTGGCTTGCCAGGAAATTATATGGCCTTTGTGAAGGGGCCGCCGTCTGTCCCTCCGTCTGTCTCTCCGCCCGTCTGAAGGCAAAACTTTTGGACATTCGCACAATACGAATATGTATCCTCATCAAGAGCAAGAGAAATAGCTTAGGTAGCAATATTACGGCTGCTCATTTATATTATTTACAATAAATTTCTGCTTTTCATTTAGTTTTCACTTTTATCACTGTCATTCAAAGGCTATTACGCAACAAATTTTCAGTGAAGCTGGGACCAGACAGAATGGCTTCTTTGTTGGTCGCCGACATGCGGGGTCAGAGATTTCATAATGAATTGTTTAATTTTATTTCTTTTCTCTACTCGTCATTATTGCCTGCTTGGCTGATGAGCCCAGCGTTATCAATTACATTGCATAAACTGTCACTCAATTTCTTATTTCACATGATTTTCATTTATCCGAAATACAAATTACTTTACGGCAAACTTTATTTTGCAGAAATTAAATTCCTTAAAATATTTCGCAAACGGAACAAAATTGTTTCCGTACTTGTTTTATTTGTTTTTTCTCCAAAGTCGCTTCGAGTTTTTCTTAAATAATATTTTTCTCAAATTATGAAAGTACAAAATTATTTCAGAAATCAACAGAGTACAGCCTGGATGGAGGCTGTGTGTGGGCGTGAGTGGGTGGGATGGTAGCGGTTGCCACAATAGACGTTTTTGCGTCAATGCCGAAGTGCCAAACGCAAACTGAACGTCAGAAAAAGAAAGGAAAGTAAAGAAAAGAAAAAGGACGAGCAGGCGCCATCAGAGAAGTGGAGAAAAGTTTTATGTTTCATGCTTAATTGCGGCATTTCGATTAAGAAAAATTTATAATAAAAGTTTTGTTGTTATTTATGCTGCCAAGATGAACGACGAGCTAACAATCATTATAAAAAGGAAACAGTGGAAGAATCCTCGAAAGGACTGCGCAAGTCAACTTTTACCGGACGAACCTTAGCTTACCTCTGCCATGAGAAGCTCAATTACCAACAATAAAGTTCACTTTTAAAGCTTTATTGCTTACAAATACTTAGACAGATGACCCATACGACCGTTCTGCTCAGCCTTCTATGGAAAATTTAAAAAGGTTATTTAATTGAAGAAAATTAACTTTATAGCAAGCATCCAAACTAACCATATAAATATCATTCGGTACCATAATATTTTTTGAAACATTAATATTATTCTTGTCATTATTTTATCATATATAAAAAAACAATAAAAATACTGTTGCAAATATACTAAACGACCATCCAAACCTGTCTTAACTGACTTGTCCATCAGTAAGTTGGGATACTCGCCTGTTTAAAGAACGTAGAAAGTGGAGTTCTCCTTCTGAAGTACAGAGAAAAATTCCTAAAGGAGTTTCAGGCAAAAAACATTAGCATTCAACTCAAGGCGATAAAGCCCCGCCCACCTGTCCGTCCCTTCTGGGCTATCATGCCCATGCCCACCCCTTTTGACACGCACGTCTTTTGTCCGCTGCATCAGAAGAAAAAATGCTGCGAGCAAAGAAAAGCAAATCATGACCGAAGTCTAAAACTTTTCCCATTATGCAAAAATGAATTGCCATGCCTTAAAGTACAAGCTGAGGCCAGAAATGAGGATTAAAGTCTAACCAAAAGCACATCAAATCAGTTTAAGAAAAAAACTCGCAATTAAAAATATGTAAGCGATTCCCGCAACGAACTTTACGTCTTGAAATTTGACGCCGCAAAAATCCCTTACCCTCTCTTATAACTATATTTGTATATTTGTATATATGTATATGTATGTATGGATATGTATATAGTATATAAGTATATGTATTTGCTTGGTTCAATGATTTTTTGAACAGTATGCTAGAGCCTCAGCCCCTTTCAGAATATTGATTTTCATCGCGCCAGGGCTTAGAAGCCTCCTGTACATCAACATACAGTCCCCCCCCACACACACAGAGTAATATCAGCACATTTTGCGCCATACTCATAAGCTCGGTTTTTTTCTGTCGAAGAGTCCATTGAACTGTTCGTACAATGTGTACGCCACGGCATTGTGTGGTGGCTGTGGTCTGAATATCCCTGTAAAATGGAAGCCCAGCCAGACTTTTGCTGCCGCGTCCTGTCGATATTCCAAAACTAATAAAAAGGGGTTCGTGCACCAACAAGTTTCTCAACTTTTTCGTTGCTCCAATTGATTCTCAAGTATTGGCTCGGCCCACAAGATGGCGGAATCTTTCTGATTGCGCTTTAATAGCGCCTAATGGCCGGCGACAAATGTGACAAATTACTTTAATAGGTACTACGAAATAATGAACACCAAACACTTTACAACAGCAGTTCACAAGAAAACTGTCCGAGTGCCCACCCAAAAAGAGACCAGCTTGAGGGTATAGTCCCGAGACCATCGAGTACAAATTATGCTTCGGTAGATTGTTGTAAGTTCTGTTAAATTGGCAAGCCATTGTGGCTGAGGGAGATATTTAATGATTGCTTGGCAAAAGTTTTGCATATTGTTTGCTTTAACGTATCAAACACATTTAAATATTAATTTAGCCATATTTATTATTGCTGTATTTGCTTAGGTTGCCCTTCTTCGTATCTTGTTGTTTTATTTTTAATTGTTCTGGCACAAAGTACTGCATTCTGCTTTCAATTTGTGGTTTTCTCACACAAAAAGGGACTGCGAAAGTTTTTAGCCCATTTTGACTTCAAAGTTTGGCCGTAACAAAACAAAAGGAGCCCGCATAGCTTAAGAAAGTAAAGTACAAAGTTATGAAATTCAAGTTGTGACTACTACAGAAGTTACATCAAGTATAACAGAAAAATTTTAGTGAAAATGTGCAATACAGAGTGAAGTCCCGATTAAGGCACGGCAAAGCCAAAAAGTTTTAGGCTTAATCCCAGGAAATTCAATATAATAAATTAAATTAAAAAGTTAGGGCATTATTTGACATTCAAATAAGATTAAAATTGGTTCCATCTAGTCATATCATAAGCTGCGTGTCCCCTCGAATACCCTACCGGAGCGGATTTTTTTGTTTTGCTGTAAAAACAAGCCATCAACTGATCAATTGTAATGCTTCACTGTCAAACAATGCCCAGCGCTTAGTCCAGGGGCAAGTGTGTGTTCTGGGAAGCCATAGTTGAAATTATGAGGAAAATTCAATAATACATTCACTGTGTACCATTCCTTCTACCTGCCGCAGATCTATGGCTACCGCAGCTTGGTTCAACTTGATGCACCAAGTCTCATTTTGCATTTTCAGCGACATGTTGCGAGGCTCATAAGCTTCTCTGACGTCATTAAATTGGCACAGCTGCTAGTACAGGAAATTCTGTGTATCTGTCGGATGCAAGTTCGGGTTTGGTCTCGGGCTGGAAAACAAGTTAGTCCCCCGATAGAGGCAATTCAGCAAATGACTCTCTTATACAAGTATCGTAGATCTTAACTTGTAGAACTTCAACTCGAGCTGATCGCCGTTGTGGTGAATATCGCATAACTCTAGAGCTTCTTGGAGGTTATGTTTTGTGCTCAGCATTCGCGTCATAACGCGCGCCAGTTTTTGGGCGCCATCCATCCACATAAAACTGCTTTTTGGAGTGTGTGTAAACAAAAACATAAACAGCTCAGCATTCAAACTGAGTGGACTCTGCCAAACATCGAGATATATATACTATACTTATAAATATATATCTTTACAAACAGACTCGAGCAACAATTTCTCAGTTTCTCGGTTTTTCACTTTTCACATTGTGTATACTTTTTCTTGGCTATACCCGCCTATCTCCTATCTCTATAAAAGAATATACAAGTGCTCTTCAGATGATTCTCTTGTTACTCGTTCTGTCCCTACCCCCACACTTCCAGTTTCCTCCATTTCGCTCCCATTTGGTATCACGTTCAACAGAAATTCCAATGAACTGCGGAAGGCTGACCAGTGGCTGCCTCTGGCTGGTCACTCGCTGCTTATGTTTTTGTATGGCAGCATCACCAACTGCCTTCCGTCCCTTTGGTGCCGAGCTGTTTTTAGAGGCTTTTGTTTTTCTTCTTTTTTATCTTTTTTTGCTTTTCGATATTTTCATTTTGCCGTCGCTCGGTATCTACTTTTTGTTTGAAATCTATTTTGCTTATAGGGTTTCTCTCAGAGCTGTTTCTGTTTTGGCCGCCAGCGTGAGAAAACATCAGTCGAACATCATTTAATTATTTTTGGATTCAACAATCTATCAATACAATGTTCCATCTTAGTTCTAAAAAGTATAAAGCATAGGAAATATGTCCATCTCAATAGCTGATAGACTAGAAAGCGTTAAAGCGACAAATCAAAAATCACCTAATCATATATAAATTATAAGAAAAATTCAGAGTTTTGTTAAACTAAATAAAAACAACATCTTCACCTTATACACAATGTAAATAAAATGTGAATGAAGGAATTATAATCGAGCCACATCTGGAAATATGAACCTTCTTGGGGGTTGAACAGTGCACAGTTGGAACAAAAGTTGCAAATAACAACAAAACAGTTTTGAAAAAAAAAAATAAATAAACACAATCATTTATCATTATTAACAATTTGAAACAATTGCCATTGAACTCTGTCGGTCAACACAGAAGACTGCTTCGAGGAATTATTGCCAACAATTTATATGTGTGGATGTGTGTAATCATTGCTAAATTAAAACAAAACGAAAGTCGAAAATAAATGTTTGTGCAAATATTGATTGGCATAGGGTTAAGTCAAGCAAAACGCAATTCTGTTTATGGAAATTGCAATTTCCTACTTGCAACAGCTGCAACTAACGCTCAGACCGAAAACCGAGTGTTTGTGCTGCCTTCATCAAGAGATAGATATAAATATATATATATATATATATACACTTGAGGGCTTAGTATCTTCAATTACATTGTCCGTCGGCTTCTAGATACGGCAGAGTGGGAAGTCGAGGGCAAACCTCAAACAAATCCAAACCATAAAAGCAATCAAACTTGAACTGTCCTCCCTTCTCCCTGCATCAGTTTATGTCTTTCGCCCCTAGTACAAATAGCCAGAATGCTTTACACACATTTTCCGATTGTTTTGTGGCCCAGTTGTCTCGTTTGTACGCCTGTTGTGCATTGTATTTCTGAATGTGTGTGTTAATTTTTTTATGCCATGAAACGCTTTGTAATTGAATTATGACATTACTTACACTTTGCAATTGTAATTGAAAAGTGCATATATTGTATTTACATTTTCGCTCTGCTGTTTGCGAAAAACCCGTCAACTTACATAGCGGATGCAGTTCAATTTAGTTTTCCGGTAAACATCTTTAGCACTTTTCGACAATATACTTGATTTTTGATTGAACAATTGACTCACCTCACTTGCGCAAGCATTATACAATGTGTTCAAAGCCAATCCAATGTTGTGCGTTGTTTTTCGCTGCGATTCCTGAAAATGCCAAAGTAGCTTTGGCCGAAATGTTGTTGGTCTTCAGCAAATGTCCAACACCAACTCAGCAAAATTAAATGCTCAAGTAATAAAAAGCACTGAGAGTTATGTTGTTGTTGTTTTCTGGCTTTTAACGTGGTACAAATCGGGTTTTATTAGGAGCTGTCCCGGCAGCGGAAAACTCCTTATTGGGTTGTTGGTTCCGGTTTTTGTTGATGTTGTTTTTGTTTGTTTTCCGTTGTAACTGTGAGCGCGTTTTACACTTTGTTTACAGGATAATCGCTTGATTTATGACACTCTCCTTTCATATACATTTACTGTTGTATGTGTGCGTTTTGATGAAGGACTTCACAACTGGCTGCTGCCGACAGACTCTTTCGCGTTGCCTTTGAAACCGTTGCCGTTGACTTTTACGTAGGGCTATACACAATAAGGAAATATTTCGGGGTTGAGAACAAAATGAATACATAAGACGTAAAATAAATACGCGAGGGCCAAGCATAAACACACGCACCCTTAGGAAAGCGAGCGTCGATTTTATGCACAACTAAAATCAATACGGCATAAAAATAAAAAAATTATGTTTGATTTTGATGTTGTAATCGCGTATATGGTCAAAGGAAGTTGTTTGATACGAGTCCCGATTGGGTGCCCACTTTTGACTATTTCACGCCCTGTGTGCCACACACACACAGGCACATACACACGGTTAAACACTACGAAATTTTGTTTGCCAGGCACGTGACTCATTTGGCATCAGGACACGCTGTCCGATTTTGTCTTCGAACGCATTATATAATTATCACAGAGTGTAATGATTGTTGGAGCCCTCACGAAACGCTTTCGCAACTTTTACAATTTGTCCATCTGCTGTTAGTTAGTTTTTCGCCTAACCTTTTACTGCGGTTCGAGCCAGAAGCTCAGCTGTGGGTGTCGCGACCAGTCCGTTACCAATTTAAAGGCAATGCCTCAAACGTTTTGCGACAGCGGCCAGAACAGCCAGCTCTATGTTTCTGTTTCAGTTTCGGATTTTGGCTCAGCGTCGCAGTGACGCTCTCTATTGGAAAATTTGCTCCGCTGACTGCATAACTTGACTGAGCACCAGTTTTCCAGGCACAAAAACTGTGCTCCCGCAACAGACCAAAAACCAACAAAATGTTGGGCAATATTTTGGTAGTTGATTTTTCAGACCAGGGACAGCCTGGTCTACCAAAAATGTTTTAAATTGTCGGATTGGCACTGCGTTACGCTGCATTTTGTGTTAACCAACTTTGATTTGTCAGACAAGTTACCCACAACAGAAAGTATCTCATGTATTTATTTAAATATTCAGAAATATTGGCACTACTCATTTTTTACTTTCAAACACAAAACTCTTAACAGCTGATGCATATTTAAAACGGGGTTTTAAACGCCAAAAGTCCGCTTAAAATAGCGGGAAATATTTACTTGCGCAACTTTAGCGAACATCCTGCACGACAACTACCCTGCGTTTGCCATTTCCCATTCTCCCATCGCAGCTAGAACTTGAACACGGCTGCCTTCCAGCCGTTCGAGCGAGCTATTGACAACGACGACCTACTATTTCGCTCACGTCTCACTGCTCTCTGCGTGATCCTTTGGGCTGCAGTCGAAAACAGGATTTTTTTTACAGCTCCGCTCTGGCTCTGTCTCTTTTCTGGTGATTTTCTCTAGCTTGACAGCCGCTGGTTTTTCTTTTTGTAACCTGTGCATCCGCGCGGGTGTGGTCCTCTGACAGTGAGCGTGAAAATCACGAACTCCATAGCAGGCACAAAATTGAAATTCACTCCCTGCTTTTTCTTCTTTTACGCTGCGAGCATTTTGTATTTTCAATATTGAAGCCATTCCATGTTACACGAACACATAATTTAAACACTGCTCGTTGTATGTTTATGACTGTTCGCGCTTTTTGCTTTAAACATTTTTAAAATATTTATCTAATTTTTCTTTGCTCACATATAGTACATATGTATGTACAAACACACACACATATGTATGTACAAGCACACACGCGCACAATGCAAGGCAGGCAGACACACACACATACACACGCCGACACACACAGCGACACTGACACAGACACAGGCACAGAAACCAGACACAAGCAGCACTTACAACTTCACAGACAACTGAACGTTGCGTTTGACGGTCCGCGTTCACGTACGCTGTAGCAGCACAACAATTGAGTACTAAATCTGCGCCGAGCTCAGCGTCAGGAATAAAGCACTAGCGCTGCCGCTGCTGATGATTGCAGCCACCACAACTTCCGGAGAGCAGAAGAGCAACGGAGAGCATGACAGAAGGAGAGCACAAAAAAGAGAGAGAACCTGCGCGGGAATCGCCAGCAGCCAGCCCACACTCACTCGAGACTCTTATACCCGTACCAGTACTCTGATGTTCGCTTCGGTAGCCAGGCAGGCAGCGCGAGCTCACCTTTCGTTCGTTGGCTAACCTGTCCAGTCGGGTCGGTCAGGTTGTGTGTGTGCCTATGTGTGTCAGCCACTCGATAACCCTTTATCATAGCCCTTCTGCAGCGACAGCTTGTCGACGTTATACTCAGGTCTCAGATCTCGGCTTCATTGAATAATTATCACAAGTTTGCCAGTTCGCCGTTGTTTTGCCTCAGTCTCAGCAGCGAGCTAGCCCTTTGCTTTTGACCCAAAAACCAGTTTTATGTTTCGTTCTGCATCAACTCGTTTTCCTCTCACGAATTGAAGTTTGTTTTCGACTCAGAAAATATGCCGCTACGTAGGCCCAACTGATAGTTGGCCAGTTATGTGGAAATTTTTGAAAAACACTCGAAATAATATTACGCCCTTTGTGACTTCATGTACAATAATAAGACAAATAATATTTGAAACTGCAAGCAACCAGAAGTAGTAAAGGTCAGCTTGTATAAACGATATCTGTACATCTTTCTCTCTTTGGGCAACACTCGTGTCTGGTAAATGGCTTTTTAATTAGTGCTTGACAGGTTTGTAGAGCCGCTTTGTAGGCAGTTTACCGGCCGTCTGCTACCTGCTGGCATAAACACCTCGCACTTTTCCACAAGTTATTTGACATGTTCTTATGCACGCAATGGTAGCAATGGTGTTTCTCAACTGTTATAGAAGTTCTCACGGGCTGCCGCAAACTGACCTAAGATGCAATATTTCAATTAGCCAGGCTTATTATGAGCGGCTAAGTCGCTGCCAGCTGCTAGAAGAAAAAACCCAGTTTTTTCGCTGTCAGATATTTCCCTTGCAGTTAATGTGAGTATTTGTCAGGACCGCTGGAAGTTCAGAGAAGTTCAGAGAGTTAGCGCCTGCGCCCTAAAGGAGTCTCTCTTTCGCTCTACTAAAAGTGTGCACCTAATATAGCCGTCGAGCAATTTGGGGTAGCCATGCAGCCCATCCAACCCCGTCCATCGGTTGCCCACAATGATTCGTTTTCGCTGAATTTCGTTTGGCTCACATGTAGACGGAACTTGGCCCATTCGCCATTCGCCATTTGCCTGAAGGTAGAACTGAGGTCTACGGCCAAACGAACTTATTTATGCTCGATTCAAGTGAATATATGTTGACTCGAGCAGTCTGATTTATGCATTATATTAGCGTGGATTTTAGCTGCAATAAATCTGCGAATTCAGCAATGTTACGTGCCATAAACCTATTCATGCTAAAAATAATTTACTCTAGCTCTTATTATTCGGCAAGTGCACGGCACGTCTGTCTTATTTACTGGTCCATATCTACAGAATAATGGCACACTATATTGGCTTTACTTCATGTATTTATGACCTATTCACAACTCTCATTGACGACTAATTATTTAACACCAGACATGTATCAATGACTATTCTTTATAGATTATATGTCCACATGGAAGCACTTAAAGTGATGTTTTATTTGTGGAAACAATCATTATTCGGTATTTGAACCAAACCCACGGGTTTTCGAGCTGTTGACATAGTTAGTAATTCCCCTGTCCACTTTAATTGGACACGGCAACGGAGCTTACAAATGGCAATGAGAAGCCCGTCACCCGTTCCATTTCATGCTTCCTTCATCTCATCCTGAAGACGTAGATAAAAGCTAAACCCGTAATCAAACGATGCATTGGCAATCGGGCAGGTGTTAAAATAATTGTGTACAGCATTACACTCCCACTCCGGTGTTCGATCGAAAAGAGGTTTGAAACTATTAATGAGCCCACGCACACAAAGTTGGCAAGTAAGAGAAAGAAGGATGCAAGCACTTTTGTCGGCTGCCTTTCCTTCCACTTCAAAGAATTCAGTTCACTTTCTAGACAGGCGAAGCGTTAAATAAAATTCATAATTTGCAGGACCGGTGTCGATGTACACACAGAAAAATTAAAGTGTGTTCATGTGACAATAAAAACAATAAAATATTTAGCACAAATTTTAACTTAATGCTTCAGTCATAAAAATGTATGAGTGAAAAAAATGTCTGCCTACTGTGCGCCATCGTTAAAAGCGTGCCTGTAGCAGGAGGCAAGATCTTGCTGCCAATGCTTCCCCATTAAACCAAAAATTACACAAAGGATAACGCGCAGCTTGACGGCGTCCGTGGCTACAAAGTGTTTTTAGGGGCCAAGTGTGTATGGTATGTCGCCCGTTCTCATCCCTTCATCTTTGGTCCTTGGTCTTCGGGCGACTTTGCCTGCTTTGTTTTTGGGAACTTTGGCGCGCTAACTTTTAGCTTACGGGTAGGCGCATACAAATAAAAAATTATCGCCCAAGTCCAGGACGGCTATGCGCAGGGACTACTGCATAACCATTATATTTTATTTTTACATTTTTTCGTCACGTTTGACGCCGACAAACCCAGCAGCATCGTGTTATATATGTACATATATATATATATATATTTTGTGTATGTGTTTTATATTTGCTCATCTCCTATGTACAGATGCTGGCCTCACCCGCAGCCACACCCGCAACCGCACCTTGCCGCAACCTTTGGGAACCTGCACTGTCATTGTCTTTTAACGCTACCAGCGATTCTCTGTGTGTGCGTGTTTTACTTCCTGTTTCATCTCTGGCTGCTTCCTGCTTATTTCTTATGTGTATTTTTACAGGCGCTGATTTTTATTTCTTTCCAGGATGTGATATTTCATTCAGTACGGCTTACAGAATAACTAAACGTCGCGATATGGGTATCTGGCTCCTCCATTCCCTGACACCGCCTGCCTGTGACCGCATTATGTAAAAATCTAATTGAAAACCAAACTTTGAACACATTAAATGCCTAAAATAATATTAGTAATAATAAACCGGTCATATAATCCCTATGAACCATCTAAGAAAATGTGGGGCCTAGATACTCATGTCTAACATGTAGGTTTTTGAATACCGAATACAGATAAAAATGCACATACAGACAAAAAATAAGTCGGAGAACTACATTGTGTGTTACGAGCAGAATCAAAGATATCTCGCACTTTCATTAATTATTGGTTTTTATTATGTTTTTTTATTTCGAATTTTGAGACAGCGGGCAGAAGTTTGATAAGATGTCACCTTTTTTAAACGCTCTCCAAAGTATGCTTCAAAAATTTGAGCTCCATATAGTTAAATTCGTTGGCACCTATATGTGCACCTGTGGGCGTGAACAGCAATATGTACGTGATATTTTCCCAGTACACATAATTTGTATTCGCGCCTGCGGCAAAGACTGCGCGTGCACTGTGCCAAATACTAGACTGCGAATTGATAGAGGTACGATAGGAATCCAACTTTTAAATTGAAGAGCCACCACATTGGTACTTAAATAGTTAAAGTACGTTAGTAAGAGTACGTGTCAGCCGGCTACTCGGAATGCCAATTTAGTGAGGACATATAAAACACAATGACGTTGTTGTGACTCCGAAACGGTTATAAACTATGCAACAAAAATTCTCCATTTATACTGGTGTAAATGTGTGCAGCCCTGGGAAAGGGTCAACGGAGTCCCATTTAATTATTTAAAACAATATGAAATATAAATATATATTTTTTTGGTGCACATCTGCTTGTGTTGCCAGTAATGGTCGCACGCTGACAAGAATGCAAAAATCTTTTGCATCATTTTTATATTTATATGTGCAATACTTTCATTTTAATAAATGTTTTAGTTTTGCTGTTTCTTTGTTTATTTATATTGGTCATCTAAGCCCATAAACAAAAGCAATAAACATATGCTTCATATTCTTTATATATAAAATAATAAAATATTTGTAATTTCGCTTTAAGTTTTTCACACAAATAACTGAGAATTGTGGTAACGATTGATCTCAAAAAAAGTGGATGAGTGTTAAATACTTCTATAATTTATAGGTCTCGGGGCAAAACCCGCCTCCTGCCAGACAGAAGCAAGCTGTCGTTATGTGGGTACTGTCGCTTTTGTGCGATATTTTCTAATTGTTTGCTATATGTGGTTGTGGGCGTGAATGTGTGCATGGGCGGATTAGTTGTTAGTTCAAATTTAACTGTGGGAGTTAGTTGTATTCATATATAGTCACGGATAGTAGCAGACGGCAACACTCGTTGTTGAGCATAGTAAAATGCTTGCATTGAAATGGAACAACAAGGCAGGACATAAAAGCTGCCAGTTAGAGGCAACGGCATAAAAGTGAAATAACTATAAATGCCTCTAGCGTTTTAGTATTTTATTTTACTGTTTCGTGCTGGGGGTAACGTCTTCCTCTTCAACGTGCTTGATCCCTGCTACCCTACTCACAAATTGAGATGCTTTACTTGGGGCTCTGCTGTTGACACAGTTTTTTATTCTGCTTTAACAGATTTACTGCAAGTGGCGCAAATCTTTTGGTTCCGTTGCAGGTTCAGGTAATGAATAGATGTTTACGGGGGGTGTGTCTCCTTAAAAGTTAAATGAGGTCAAACGAATTTATGTTCCAATTATTTTTCTCGAAAAACAATATTCTTAAGTGGTTCTTTCTGTTGTTCTTTTTGGCAAGTTAACTTTCGGACTTTTCATTTAAGCGCCTTGCTGAGATTATCCGATTTTAAGCCACTTTCTGCAATTAACTAACAATCGGCCTTATTTCTTAAATGTGCCCAGAATTGGTCTCAACTTTGATTATATAGTTGCCAATTTACAAACACGACAGGTCATCCCACATTAGGCACCGAACTTTTCAGATAGACAATAATGCAAATGATAAGCATCTGCGCATATTATAAAATGCTCTAAATGTACTTAGCACGCGTCTTTGTTTTA